ATTTGAGCGCGTTTGGAACAAGTTCGCTGCGGAAATGCAAAAGGACGAGACCAAAATATTGGTAGCTAGCATGCAACTGGAATACTCGCAGACCGTCATTCAGCGCTTCTCTCTGGCTGATTTACCAACTATTCTTCACGTAAAGGATGGAGAATTTCGCAAGCTGCCTGTTGTCTACAGCGTGAAGCAGCTGAAACAATTAGTTCTGCATGACTGGCAAAAAGTACAGCCTTTGGCTTTTTGGCAGCATCCCAATGGATACTTCATCACAGCCTACATACAGTATATCAAGGCCATCGATTTCGTTTATGAGAAAGACTGGGTAAACAGCGACTACGACCGAGTTGCTTGGGCTGTGCGCATCATCATTCTTTTAATTTTCGCTTCAATTTCGATGGCCCTTCGCTCAATCTTCAAACTCATTTGGCGCAGTTTCTCCAACACAACCGTTTGCGATGGGGAAGGTATTTCGAGCAATCATATCTTGCCACCTTCCGAGGGCATAACAATGTAGTAATGTAATAAGTTGCAGTAGCTTATAACCTGATCCTGATCTTAAAACACAAATATATTCCATATGCTTTACCGACTCCTTATCAACCCTTTTGTATATGCCTCTGTATTAAATTTGATAAAAAATGTACAAAATCTTAAAAGTTCATGGTCTATTCAAAACAAAAGGGCAATTTTGAATTGTTTTTTATTAAGTATTTATTTAGTCATCAATATCCATTTCGTCCCCTTTAAATTAAATCGCTCAGATATAATTCACTTTGACAGCCACTTAGTGGCATTCCACCAAAAAAAGCATCTATTGGTAAAAAAAAAACACTACACAAATGCCGATGAACACGAATCACGTTTGCAAGATTTTCGCGAAAGGACGATTCAGTCGCGCAGGAACGCAAGCCGGAAACGCTAGTGTATACAAGTATATATACATATATATATATATATATATATATATATATAACCATCACCTTTTCAACAGACCTCGTATATTGAGATTATCCATCTGAAAAAAATATATTAAGTTAATCTTTCTGTTCCAAACATGGTGTTGTGGTGTCAATCTTTTCAAGGATCTAATAGCTCTGCTGCTAATCGCCTATCTAACAACGAATAGAACATCCTTTTTTTGAGCACAGGAGTACATGGTACATTCTATTTTGTTTTGAAATTCTGGGAACACGTGTGGTGTGCCAAATGTGTATAATCCTTAAAGCACTATATAGAAGAAATATATAACATATCTCTACTGCTATTTTTTGACATATTCTTTGCTTGCACTGCAGTTGCTGACGAAGCATTTTGTGAAAAATCACTTACACCGCAAAATTGTTTAAGCTCGTACTTAGCATTTTCATAAATTATGCAAGCATTTTAAATGAGGGAAAATCAGAGTGCAAGGAGCAAGGAGTACGGGATTTCAAGTTGTATTCTGCACACACACACACACACACAAATACTTACATACAACTGTAGAATAAATTTGTAATTCAATAAGTTTAAATAACTGATGATGATGATGAGGTTGATGTGTGTGTGTGTGTTTGTGGTGCAGAGTTGAGTTGCAGTCAACAGACATGGAGGATGGGGCTGCTGCTGCTGCTGCTGAGACTAGGATCGTACAATGCTTCTAAATGACAATGCATTATTCATGCGTATTTTTTATTTACCGCAAGGACATGGCAGCCAAAACAGTGGCAGCAATCGCCAAAGGAAGGAAGCTGGAAACTTGGCAGGAAAAATAAAACACAAACGTGTAAATCACTTGAGATAAATGAAGATGAAAAGTGTGCGGTGCGGAGCAAAAATTAAAATATCACTGCAAGGTACGCTAAAATGTTCCGTGCAGCACTCAAAGGAGTACTGTGAGACTCCTTAGCTCGCCATAATTCCGCGCTAACAAATGAACATAGAAATAAAGTCTGAGAATATTCGAACTGTATGAAAATTTGATTGACAGTTGCGGTTTCTGATGTTCATGTAGATGCTGGAAATTGATAAATCCGTATAATATTGACAAACGCACACCTTATCATTTATTTATTTATTTATTTTTTTTTTTTTGAAGAATTCGCTTGCCATGAAAATATTGTCAAAATACGTATTCGTAAAAGTATGTAGTTATTTAATTGTCAATATATGTATATTAATGCTTCGATTCATAAATACAGGCTTTTATATACTACACTTTCAAAATGTGGACAGAAGAGCGGAAACTCCGTACAGGACTTCTTATTTTTGGCGCATGGTACATATTCTTCGGGTACATTATACTGTCCCACGCCATTTCCTTATTTACGCAGGACTTAATAAAGCAATCCCTATTAATGTGGGTAGGAGTGCTTTGTTTTAATGGTACGTTGCAGCTAGCATGTGGAACTCTACTATATATTGGTATATTAGATGTTAGTATATTTGTACACAATTATTCATGTTATTTATTACAACATTTTTCCCAGCATAATAAAAAAATTTTTAAATTTGGTTGTATTTTATGCATAATTATCGCTGTTTTGACATTCTTCTTGGGTAAGTTCCTTTCTTAGTGTTTTTACGTAATACGCAGACCAAACCTTGATTTTCAGCACCCAGCGATACATATTGTTGAGCATAATACAGAATAATGTTTGTTTACAGGTTATCCAGTTATATTTGCAATCGGTGCATATTCATACTACAAAACTCAATTTTAAATGAATTTTAAGGAGAATACGGTAACAGAGGGAATCAATTAAAGTATAACATGCCATACCTGAGTAGAAAGTGAAAAAGTTACATATTAAAATTTGAAAGTTATTCGTTGTATTTATTTTATATTTATAAAAAACAAAATGTGGAGGGAGGGAAATTCCAAAATACACATTTTCTGCGTATTCATATAAATCATCTGGGACTTATTTGGTATCCCTGGCTCTTATAGTGTCCGAGATCCAGGTGTTCACACACGGACAGACGGACAGACAGACAGACACGGCTAGATCGAGTCATCTTATCATGCTGATCAAGAATATATATACTTTGTGTGGTCTGCCACGCCTCCTTCTGTCTGTTACATTTTTCAGCTCCCGCAAACCTTATATACCCTTGTACATTTTATGTATAGAGTATTACAAGTATTATTAGCGCATAATACTCGAATAGGATTGTACATTAGTAATCACTAGTGCATCTGTTAAGTTGAAGAGGCAGAAAATTCCTTGTTGGTCAAGAAGCATAGAGGAATTAACATCTCCGACAATCAATTTGTGGAGGAACAGAACACCAAGAACTATCCTACGGTGAGCTAAAGAAGGCAGGTTAATAAGGAGAAGTCTACTGGAGTAGGATTGTAATCGTTTAGACCACGAAGAGCAACAAGAAGAAATTGTTTCTGGAAATGTATGGCTTACAGCCCTTTTATGGAAGGTAATAATAAACGATTTTTTCCAAGAAGTAGGAAAGATTCCGTTCTCCAAAGACAGATTAAAAAGCCTAAGCAACGGTTTGCAGAGTGAAGTGCTATACTCTTTGAGCACACAACTAGGAATGCTGTCAAGCCCAGGAGACAATGAAGATTTTACAGATTGTACAAGTATATCAGATAAAATTGAAGAATCTGTAATTATTGGAGCAAATATAGAAATTGAAGGCATAATGCGGAAGAGGTAAGAATTACCGTTACTTACAGAATCATTACAAGAATTGTTATTCGCAAGGAAAAATGATGATGGCAAAGTCGAAGATTCCCGCTTATAGAACTTGTTAGGGTCATGTTTAAATTGGAGCTTGCAACGCTCAGGATAATTTGTGTAACACAGGGAGATTAAAAGAAGAAAATTAGATTTTGCAATACAATATTTAGAGAAGTCAATACCTAAGCCAGATTGCTTGAACTTTTTGAAACATCTGGATTTTATGGTTTTTAGGTTAGAAAGTCTACGCGTAAACCATGGATGCTGAAGAGAAAAAAATGATGTGACGCTATTGGGAACACAGACATCGAAAATGGAATACATGGTGTTATACAAAAATTTTGGAGCAACATCTATATCGACGGAGCTATACAAGATAGGTCAATTAGCATTAGAAATCAAACGGTTAGGCATAACAAAATCACATTTGCGAAAGCATTTGCGAGGCATGTTACACTCAGAAGACAATGCACTAGATCTAGAAAAGGGAAGACAAATTTCTAGAGTAGGATGATAAATACCTTCAGGAAGTGTTAAAGGAGAAGATCTAGAAACAACATTAGTGATATCATTAACAAACACCAAATCGAGATATCTATGAAGGTGATTGTATATTGGATTAATTTGAACTAAAGAGAGTTCAAGAAGGCAATCCAAAAAGTCGTGCTGTGACGAAGGAATAAGGTGAGGCGAACTATTAAAGAATGACCAAGATATGCTTGGTAAATTAAAATCCCCCACCATAACAATCAGGTCATTATCACGAAGGCTTCTCTGATACAAGTAATATGGAGCATATCAACTTCAATATCAGAAGAAGGAGGAATATAGGAGCAAATGATATATAGCGCTCGAGAAGGAGAAGAGAGAGATCTAAAGTTTGGTGTCCCTAGGTCTTATAGTCTTCGAGATAAAGGTGATTATAGGAGCGGCGATACGTAAAAACCCCATTATCGGTGGAGTGGGTGGAAAATCATATAAATAAAAGAAACTTGCACAGCGTACACACATAAGTCACCTTTGTGCAAAATTTGGAATCTGTAACTCTTATAGTTCCTGAAATCCTGTTGTTCATACGGACAGACAGAAAGACATAGATCAACTCGTCTTGTCATGCTGATCAAGAATACATACACTTTGTGCGGTCTACCACGGTTCCTCCTCCCTGTTACATTTTTCACCTCCCGCAAACCTAATATACTCTTGTACATTTAATGTACAGATTATAATAAACCGATAAATATATATTTATTTTATATTAATTTATATTTCAGCGATATTTATATTGCTGAAATAAAACTTTAATTAAAAAACATTGTATTTTAATTCAACATTAATTTTATTCCGAATGTTTTAGTTATTCAAATGTGTCAATTTTGTTTAAGTTTTCAAAGATACTTCAAAATTTAGAGTAAATATATTGATTTGATCCAAAATATTTGCAAAATATCGTCCCAATGGGAAATCAAGTTTCCACCGAGCCACCCAGAGCTTTGAACCACGAATAAATGCATATCCAGAAGTAAACAGAAACACCTGTCGAAATATTATGAAATTTAAATTTATCTGTTTTTTACACATACTTACCAATTATTATTGCTGTCCATGCATAATATTCAGCACCCACCCAATCAGTGTATCCATTAACTAGAATCATAATCAAACCAATTGCAATAATAATAAGGCGTACTATTTGAGTGATTAAATAAACCATGGGAAATATCTTCTTTTCCTGTAATGTTATCCCATTATTTAATTCAATTAAAATTTTGATATCATTAAATCGCAATATTGATACGTACCTTGAAATATGACACAATCACGAGAATACACGCTATAAAATGGGCAATGACGGCAACTAAGCCTATAAAGTATATTATATCGCCTGCAGTTCGAGCATCTGTGGATTATTATATTAATCGATATGAGTTCATGAGATAGTACGCATTTCGATAAATTTGTAGCCCTTTCACAAAAGTTATCAGGTCGGCAATCCCGTACTCTTCACAATGAATGTCTCCTCTCGACTCAAAATTACACTTTCAACAATTATGATTCAACAATGTTTCACGGCCGCACACCTAATTCTTTTGCGAAAAGGCTTACTTAATGACCCGAATATGTTTACTTACAATACATCGCACGATATCCTCCACCCACCAAAATCAAGTCTATGATTCCAACGATCAGTGCGCCAAGCCTTAGCTCTAGGCAACAACAAATTTTATTGAGAGTGCACATCTTGATGCTGGGATACCAATAGATTTCTGATGCTTTGTGCGTTTAGATGCCCGAGCCCGAGTTATGATTTAGTTCAAGTGAAAAAGAAAGGATTTTTAGCGGATGGCTTACTTAGATATTTATTTGTTGTATCTAATTACACTACCGAGTGCAAAACTTGTAGAATATTTGAAAAACAACTATTTTGCTTGTAAAAATATTATTTTTACGATGAGGCGGAAAAATATGCGTTCGAGCTTGTATGTTGTTTCAAATAGACTGAATTCATATACAAATTTGAATAGCCATATAACACATGGCTTACTTTGGTGATCCGATTTGCCTACTTGATTTTTGTCTTTTCCTACGTTTTTAAATTACGTTTTAAAATTTTTTCTTGCGTAGTTTATATGTGTTATGTGAGATCCAAACAAAAAGAAGAACGTTATGTCATAGCCATTAAAACGTATACTCCTAATACCAGTATAATTTAGCTAATATCAAAATTCATTAAAACTAAAGAGCTGAAGTAATAGAAAGGATGAAATATCGCACAATATCTTCATAAAGTGATTAAACTAAGAAAAATTCTGTACCGATCGGTCCTATGGAAGTTATATAAAATACTAAGGACATGTCGATACGCTTCTGGACAATATTGTGTCCGCGTCTTAAGATATTCAAGGTCCAGAAATCGGACATCTCGTTCCCTATGCCTTGCACTTATTTCAAAGTTGTAGAGTATAAAATTCTCTAAAACTTTTGTATCAACTTTTTATAGCCTGTATCCAAAGGGTGAAAGGCTATACTAGTTTTGTGCGAATGTATGTAACAGGCAGAAGGAGGCGTGGCACACCCCACAAAGTATATATATTCTTGATCAGGATGACAAGGCGAGTCGATATAGCCATGTCCGTCTGTATGAACGCAAGGATCTCAGAAAGTATAAGAGCTAGAATAACCAAACTTGGTATCCAGATTCTCCTACGCCCGAGAAAGGACGAGTTTGTTCATTTTTTCTGATGCACCCCCCCCCCCCCCCCCCACTCCTCCCTATTCACGTTTTCTATAACTCCCGCAATTCTATACCAAGTTTTATATGATAGGTTGATTAGAAAGAAAGTTATAGCCATATAACCAGGCCCAAGCCATATCTGCCGCTGTATTTGTTGCTGCTTTGACATAATTATGTAATGCACACATACATACATATGTACAAGTACACAAACACGCTTAGACACGATGCTGATGTAAATGTATGTATGGAATATTTTATATTTAATTTAATTAGCCTACAAAAGTAGATATTTTCTGGTTCAGTATGACAAGCTGTGTCTGTTCGGCTATTTGGTATGAATGCAAGGGCTTAGAATTTGTATTACTTGTAATCCGTTCCGTTACCGACGACAGACTAGGGACCGATGGCGAGCACTTGGAATAATACTTTGGCATTAAAGATATACATACATAATATATATACTACTACATGTCACATCGAATATCTATTTTAAAATTGTTTTCCACTTGTTCCAAAATTTTCGAAATTTTCTTAGGCCCAGGAATTAGTACGAACTAACCAATTGCTTTGGCCATAGCGCTAAATTTTCAGCAGTGATTAAAAAAAATTGCAGTTATCGATCATAATGCCGATGAAACCTATAACTGGCAAGAATCATTCAGTCCGGACGCTCCATCCCGGCTACCATGGCGATGGGGATGAAGACCCATGTAAACGAGGTATTCTGCGGAACACGAGTTGCCGCCGCTACCGCGAGCAGCTCCGCAATGCCCGCCACACCAACATCCTGCAGGGCGTTATGGTAGTGACGTGTGTGGCCACGGTAATAGCATTGCTGCTATTGCAAAGTATGGAAATGATTGCGGCCAGCGATACCGAGCAGGCTTCCGGCCCCGCCGACGACCGACAATTGCTGACCAGGTTGTGGTCGCTCTGGCTGAGCGTATCGAACTTCCTGGTCAGCGACGTCATTGGCGAGAGTACTGGATTCCTCGAAGACAATGTAGCAAGTGAACCGAGCCAGCCGATCCAGCCAATCCGCTCCTACTACTGCAATCAGCGACTGGACACGAAGAACATTTTTGAGCATATTCGCAAGCAGGTGATCAACCAGGAGCAGGCTCTGGCCCGCTTTGAACGAGCAATGCACAGCGATCGCCAGTTTAAGTCGCTAGCCCTGCTTGGACCGCCTGGTGTGGGAAAGACGCTGACAGCCATTGCGCTGCGTCAGCACTTTCCCTGGCCGGAAAACATACACGCATACTCATGGAGCACATATGTCCCGGACGAGGTGCGCAAGTTTCATATGGTTCGCCATTTCGTGGAGCAGCTATCCGATTGTGGGCAGAACCTTCTAATTATAGACAACCTATCGACATGCGACTACAGCATCGTGCCCATCTACAATCAGCTAATATTGGAACGCGAAGGCGAGCGTAATGCGGCCGCCAATCAAAGTGTGCTCGTGGTGTACATCTTTAATCTGGAGACGGAGCACTACTGGGAACAGTTTGAATTGCTGCAGCAGTTGCCCTCTGATACGACAATCATCAGCTACCGTCCCTTTGGCCGGGAGGAGCTAATGGACTGCCTGGAGAACGAGCTGCAGTTGGAACAGCGTGTGCTGAGTCAACGAGCCCTCTCATGTATATTGGATGAGACCGATGTATACGCAACTGGTTGCAAGCGTTTGCGACAGCTTATCCTGCAGTACGGCCGACCAGAAATCGATTGAGCGCCGTTGTACCATATCCAATGGCAATAGCAATATTACCTTTTTGTAATACTTAGTTTGTCTATTTGTCAATCCTACATAAAAGTCTCCGGTTACATCCTCCAAAGCGATTATGACGCAAGAAAATTCGTGTGTTTTGCTCTTCAAATATACTATAGGTAAGGTCGGGAAATGCAAAACTTGCCATGTACATATGTCTTGCGTGTCTAAAAAATACTTTGTCTTTGGTTTAATTCACTTTTCAGTCGCGCACAGCTCAAGCAGATGGCCACAGAAAGCCCAACTATACTATATATCCGGGCTTAGACGGATTTAACCCGCAAGAATTAATAAAACTAAGTTTTTCATCAGAAATGTTTATTTTTTCGTTATAAAATTAGTAACAAACTTAAACTAAAATGTTTATTTATTTATTCAATAGAAATACTTGTATTTGAAGACCGCCAAAGATTGATTTCAGCTCACCTAGAAATACGATGTGAAAAAGCGAATTCGATCGTTAGAATGAAGTTCAGTGGACATTTAACACTTAGTCGACCTTTTTTTGGATAGAGCAAATTGCTTAAAGAGTCCCAAGGAAACTATTTGGAATAAAATAAATATGTCTAGCCAAACAACGCTTATTATACCCTTTAGGGTATATTAGGTTTGTGGGAAGTATGGAACAGGCAGAAGAAAGCATCTCCGACCACATAAAGTACATATATATATTCTTAATCAGCATGACGAGAGAATTCGATGTAGACATGTCCGTCCATCTGTCCGTCCGTCTGTCTGGATAAACGCCTGGATTTCGAAAACGGGTGAGCGGATATTAACCAAACTTGGTATATAGACGCTCCTAGTCCTAAGGTACAAGAGTGTATTTTATTTTTTGATTTTCCCTCCCCTCTCTCCGCTACAAAATTTCGTTAATACTGTCCTCATTTCCAAAGCTACACTCTGCACACTTAATTTATGTGTATATAAATATCTATTTTTTTTTTCAAATTTCATTCAAATCGGTCAGTTTACAATTTACAAAAGTTATTAGCGGAACAATTTCGCTCCAGTAATACAATCACAAACTGCAGCATCAACTGCAGTCTGGGTACAGGGTATTTCACTGTCGACCTTGCTCGACTGTAGCATTCTCTCTTGTTATTATTTACTGTCCTGGTTGCATGGCTTTTCCATAATTCACATAACCATAAAAACCGACGGAACGACATTTTATAGAACGCCTGGCGGTAGAATGGAAAGTCTGGGCACGGTATAAATTAAAGCGCCATTAGCTGAAGCTCGTCCAATTATCAAAGTGTCCTTCCCATTACACGGATTTATTATAGTGTTGACTACCGGCAGTAGCGACTAAAAGCACCTGGGCCCACGAAGGAATAAAAACCCTCCCCCCCCCCCCCCCACATGTGCCTCCTATAAATTCTTTACGTACGTACTTTTATCGGGCTTTTGTCATTGCCATGTTAATTTAATGTTTTTTGTTGTTGTTCTTTACCCCTCTTGCATTACGCTCCTCGCCAGGTCGCGCCTCCATCGCACCCTGTTGGATTTTTTACCTTAATGACAATGACCACTTTCAGTATGCCTTGTGTTTTGGGAGCCGAGCACCAATAATAAATAGCACATGCACACATGCCATAGGGGCTTGTATGCTTTATAAGTAATGTCTGTGCGTGCATGCGAATAAAGTGTAACGGCAAATTGTAAGCAGCACGTCAGGGTTGTCAACATGTTTGACAGGCGTCATTTTGGTGTTGGAAAAAGTTATATAAAGCAACAATGGCAGTCCAGCAGCAAGGCGTTCTGATGGGGGGCGGAAGCAAACTTCGAATAATACCTGAAGTACTTGTATTTATTTCTGTGGCTTTATATATATATTCGTAGTACAGTTAGTAGAGGGCATTCATTTGGTCTCATAGGCAGTCCTGAATGGTACTCCAGCTAATGTCAGCTATATTTTGAGTTTTCGCCATATGTATGTATGTATTTTATTCATATTTTATATTATTTATATTATTATATATTATTATTTATATTATTATATTATTATTTATATTATTACTTTGCTATCTGTTATTATTATTATTATTATCTGTCATTACCATAACCGAAGAAGAAGAAGAAGAAGCGAAGCCGAAGCAATAGAGCATATCTTTTGCTCGAAAATAATAGATAAACCATTGTATGGATGGAGAAACTAAGAGGCGATGTTCAGTTATAACATCGAGAAGTACTGACGTAACACATAAACGTTGTGATCCATCAAGCGAAAGACAATAAAATTCATTTTTTAGGCTTTTGATTATTCGTGTGGTAAAACATTTGTTCGAAATTATTGTTTTAGGTTTCATATATGTATATGAATTGATCAATTTTCAAATGAAGTTACACTTCACTGCTCTGCCATATCTTAATTGTGTGATCTTTTTCCTTTGCCCCTGAAGCTATCAAATTCTCTGTAGGATGGCAGTCCGTGCACATGACGACATCATCATGTGCCTCTATTTTCTGTACCAGCTGCTTGGTTTGCAGACTCCATATGCAAATCGTGTTGTCCTCACTGCCGGACACAATCCACATTCCAGCTGTGACTGAAAAGCTGGATGATATGCAGTACTGTTCATTCTTGTGGCCCTGGTAGTTGCGCAAGCATTTTGCCTTTTGGAAGTTCCACAGCTTGAGGGTGTTGTTCATATATGAAGCGAGAATATATTGACCGTTTGGGGAAAACTTTACAGAGCCGACTGGCATGTTTTCATATTCAATTAGAGTCTTTAAGCAATTACCACTAGACGTATTCCATATGCGTAGGAGGCCATCGTAGCTGCTGGTGACAAAGAGCGATCCATCTCGATTGAAGTCCACTGCAGTAATTGGATCTGAATGAGCCCAAATGGTTTTCAATGTTTTACCGGTTCGTAAATCCCACAGGCGCACAGTCTCGTCAAAGCTTGTAGATGCAATTAAATTGGCTTGCGGATTGAAGCGACAGGAGAACACATAGCTACTGTGGCCCATTAATGTCTGAAAGCAATGCCCAGATACCCTATCCCACAGCTTGAGAGTCCTATCATCACTACAACTGACCATATATTTGGCATCAGGTGACCAAGTTACGTCGTTGATACCCAGATTATGACCAGACAGAGATTTTTCAAGTCTTCCAGAACTGGTATCCCACACCTTGATATACTTATCAGCCGAGGCACTAGCCAACCAATAGCCGTCGGAACTAAACTTCACTGCAGTTACGCCCATACCGTGTCCTAAGAGCGTCAACTTAAGATGGTAGCCTGGGGAAATTGTCTTATCCTTGTTTTTTTTCTCCGCACAGACTTCGCCTGGTGGCAAAGGTGCTTTGAACTGTTCAGCAGTCGATGGCTGCATGGTGTTGGGTATGTGGTCAGGTTTTTCTTCAGTGGGTAAGCAAATGGTATCTGGTATAGGTATAGCTACCGATGGGTCGAACTCTGCAGATTCCATGAACTCCTTTAGTTTGTTCTGCCCCTTTTTAATAGTTATTGGGTCCTTCCTGAGAAACAAAAAAGAGAATTCCACCCAACGTATACAAACGCTTGACAATATTCACTTACTTTTCAACAAAGCTGAGCTATTCTGTTTCAACAGAATTTAAGTTATGAAATTACAAATGACAGTAAAATCGTATTAATAACAAATTTTTCAATAGTTGTCAGTCTCAATAGTTGCTTTTTTAGTACTAGATGTGTTACCAATAAGTAATTAAAATACCAACATTATGCTAAGTGGCCCATCTCTTACGAAATTAGAATAGACATCGTCAGTTAGAGATGCTTTTATCGATAACATGGAATTTCTTTATCATCGCTATTTTGTGTTTTGTGCGGCTCTTCAGTAATATTATGAAAACAAATCTAAGTGTGCTTGCGAGCTCAACTCTTAAATACCCAAAAATTGTGAATTTTGAATTGATTAATTAATTATTTAAAAATTATTCAATACATGGTTACATAAGTGAAAACATATGTGTGAAGTACAGGTTTATGTCAACAAACACCATCAACAACAACAATATTAATGGCTATAACTTTCTTTCTAATTGATCCATCGTAATGAAACTTAATAAGCGGACACATAATCACTAACTGGATGTGACTACCAAATTTTGCAGGGTATAATGATTCGAGTAAAGGGAAAGATTTGAACTTATCGACCCAGTGTGGTTCAGCTTACAGCTCGTTCTTCAAGAAGTGGTAATTTACAATGAACGCATCAATCAAGCCACAGTACCAAACGAAGAAGCCAAATCAAAAAGTTTTCGCATGTTTTCCTGATTATTACGCTCATTACACATACAAAAAACATTTCTCTTTCTTTCTGCCCCATTGCTCGTGCTCTGCCTTACTGGGATTTGTTATTATTTTTGCGCTCCGTTGCGCTTCTACAGTATTGCCAAAGAATTGAAATGTAACACAAATCGTATACGAGTATATACTCTTTCCTTCATAAGCACAATGAATAGAAAGCTGTACTTACCCTTTTAATGCAGCCTACTCCAAGGCGCACGCATTCGATTTTGTTGCCATTTAGGTAAAGACCCATACCCAGCCCCAAATGCCGTTGCCGTCATCGTTTGGACCGCAGCCTGAAGCAGCGTTGAAATCTTTTTTGAGTCAAGTTGGGCGAGTGAGCGCGAAATTCATTTGTTAAGCAGGCAAGGGTGAGGCCTAATCCAGTGCATTCGAGACCTAGCGCGTGACAGAGTTGACTTTCCCAGCAAATGATTGATGAAGGCATTGGGAAAATTTGTTAGAAAAAAAAGAGAAAACGGAAAAAGGCGGAGGCATCGTAAGCGAAGCGTAAAAGGAGAGCGAAGGTGCGAGTTTTAGAAGTTTTATAAAAAAGTTTAACGCATTAAGCTGAAATCTTTTATGCTTTAAATTAGTGCTTTTCGCAATCAATGAATTTTATAATTAAATCATTTCTTCGCTTGACAAAAAGTTACTCTTTTAGATTTATTTTGGAACTGATAGCGAAGCCCCGAGAAATTATCGTGAAGCGATTGAATTTCATATAATCTTAAATAGAAAACAATTCACTTAGGAACTATCTAATGGACTTTGAGATTGCTTTTAACAGATAAAAAAAACAAGTTTGATTGTCATTAAGCTTTATTGTAAATAACACATTAATGTATCTGAACTAAAGCTAAAATAGACATATGTTTTAATCCTTTCGTTTGAAAAAAAGAACACAGTGTACAAGCCAAGTTAAAACTAGTATTTTGTGGTAGGTCGATTTGAAAATCCCAAATTTATCATACAACCCTTATGAGCCTTAGAGCCATTTTCCCCTTTTTGGTGTGAATTTTCCAATACCACTTTCTTAAAGGGAGACTTGTGTTTCCAATTCCAGCTTTCTAGCTGTTACTAATGTTTTGACTGTGCATTCATAACCAATCGCATTTTCTTGTACAAGTATTCGCCCCTACCAGATAAAAACTCTAAAAAATCAGCCTCGAATCAAATTAAAAAAGAAAACCTCATGCAGTTTATTTTGTATTTAGTCGTAGAATATAGAGGATCGATCCGATGAAAACTGCATATTCTTCCGCCCATTTGGACTATATCGAAAGAAAAGGTTTACGATGCTGGACGGACCTGGCTTCATAGGGTACAGCAATTATTTATAAGAGTAAAAAACTCCATATCTTTGAAATTGCCAATATAATAACTGAAGTTGCCAAAACATCTGCAAAAAGCCGCCAGAACCAATAGGAAGAATGAGTGAGTTAGTAAGTGTAAGTAATGTAGCATGCGAATGAGTGGTTTTTTATCTGCACATGTTTCCTAAGCCTTGTGAATGTCATCAATGGTCTGACAATTTCCCGCCTATGCCATACTTCAAATGGTGGTGTGAGTTTTTATTTATATCACTACATAGAAATGTGGTTCAAGCACTTCAAGTACAAGTACGCGTATTTATATTTTTGGGAGATGCACAGTGTGCTACTTAGTCAGGATAATGTGCCGGACCCTTCTATCGAAACAAAATAAGTTTGTGAATAAATCGAAATGTTACAATATAAGCCAGACCAGTACTGTCCTTTTAAATAATCTAACGACAGTTTTATTATTGAATAAATGGGCAGTGAAATAAGTGTTCAAACTATATGGATATGCTGGTAGAATCAACTTGTATCGAAAACATTTTGTATAATGATGGTCATTTTAATTTTTTGAGTATGAATATACTGATGAACCGCAGAGTCTGTGATTCTGGAGGTATTTTTCTGGTCCATTTTATGAATGGATCTTAAGTTTTTCTAATCCAGATATGTACTCGCATTTTTGTATCCCACTGTGCGACGAGGCAATGCGACGCGACGGCTGGCGTTTTATGCCTCCGCACACAATCGCCACAGTTGGACGAATTCAAATGCATCCGGAAGCGGAACAGGCACTGCTAGGACGCGGGTGGTGGTGGTAGATGTGTCGGTGGTGGTGGTGGTGGTTGGGCGTATCCTTTGCGAGAAACGGCTGGAATTTCTTTCTTTCCTGTCGCCTGTCGCTCATATCGCATGCTAACCAACAGCTGTTTGAGTGCTCGGCGGCTGGCAGGATAGCTGGCCATATTGAGTGGTTGATTGCTTTAATGAACGCTTCACTGCTGACAAGTTGTTTTCTCGCACACACACACACACACACACACACACACACACACATACACGCGTGCACACCGCAGCAAGGACACTCGACATTGTCCCTAACGGTTCCGCAGATTCCCGCAACGTCGGGTCGTCGCTTCGGCAGCTGCTACTGCGCTGTCGCATTCTCGCATGCCATTCTCAGATTCATTTTGTTTGTTATTTGAAATTTTATTCCTCGCCGCTGCTGATGCTGTTGATTTATGGTCCTCCTTCCTATTGAGAGCCACTCGATTATGCTGAATTTCGACAAGTTGCACAGGCACTCGGCAGCCTGCATTTGTGGCTGCTGCTTCAGGATATCTTTCTTCATTTTTTGCTCACTTCATTATCTGACATGTGAGTGCACACATTCGTATGTACAAGTATAGTACATGTCCAAATACATATATAATGGATGACGATGATTTAAGTTGGCGGAAGTTTTGTTACAGACACAACCAATCAGATCACTAATCTGCAGTTAAATCTAATTAAATTTTTACTATGAGTTTCATCATTAAAATGATGAAATTATGATTATTATTTAATTTTATTCATTCGCTCACAATATAAGGATTCATTTTGTGTTTAACTTTACAACTTAAGTAATAAGCCTTATTTTGGAGCAAAAAAAATTAAACTCATAAAGTAACGATTATTCTTTAAGTTTTATTGTTTTCATCAAAAATAAACCTGAAGTTGTAATTTTTATTGCCATTTTCATTGGAATTAAGGACAACATGTCTATATATTCTTTAATAATAAGCAAAGACGAACTGCTCATAGTACAGTTCTGGGCTAAAAAAAACATCCTTAAACAAATATTTTCAGGCAAAATTAATTGTGTTAATTTTTGTTAAAACCGCAGCGGCTTTTGGCTTCAGTTTGAAAACTGGCACCGCTGCCCCTATAAAAAATCCATAAAAAATATATTTTTGGGCTTTTTTTCGGTTCTTTAAATTAATAACTATTAAAGTATATATCTTCTACATAATCCTTTAAACATATCTAAGATATTTTTTAAATTGATTCTTTAAAGATTCAATTAATTAAATAAAATATAAAATTATCAATGTTGAACTTGAAGGTAACCACAACTTTGTGATACTTCGTCTGTCAAGATAAAAAACACGACTCCTGTGTATATGGAAACAAACACCTACAAATCCAGTAAATATTAGATTTAATATGTGCTCCTTGACTAGATAAGCTTCGATGGGATCTTATTTAGATACGTGATGTCTCTTTAAATGTATGGTTGAGTGAGTTAACAACTCAAAATGTAATTTTGCTTAAATTTGCCTAAGCGGATATTGTTTCTCTAATAATATTCCTTCAACTAACTTTTTCTGAGCTTGAGATGTGAGAAAAATGAAACAAGCTCCATATTAAAATTTTATCTTTTATTCTATTCGTATATTGTGGCCGTAATTAGAGCCCGAGGCCATAAAGTGAATTCTCGATGCAAACTAAATCAATTCAAAGACAAACGACCTCAGCGCAATACAATTAGGTCGTGGCATCTGCACCCACCAAACCCAATCAGCCCAGGCCATCAGAGCCAGGAGTGGGACAACGACAAACACACACACACACGGACGCACACACACACACACACACATACAAAGATAGAGACACACAAGGTTTTGAGTTTTCCGAGTGGAAATCAAATTATTTTAATGATACACAAATTGATACTTTGAAACAAAATAACAAACCAAATGAAAATTGCTGCTGGCGTTTTCGACTACTTTGGCTGCAGCGGAATGGTTGCCATGACAAGGGACGGCCAAAGACGAACGACCTAGGGACGAACAGGCAGTCCAGAGGATGAGCTGATGCTATGCCCGGATGGTGTTGGGTTCGGTTTGGCTCGGCTCGGCGCGGTTCGGTCCGCCTGTTGGTTGAGCAGAAATAAAAGAAACGCAAATTTCAACCCA